CATCACATCAACAACATAAATCCATGATGACATATAGTTCCTAATGGTTAATCAGTAGGGTCAGTTGGCTCATATAGTCAGTATAGTCATTCTAGTGTTGATTCGGTTCCTAATTTTGTTTTGAGTTGAACGATTAGTGAGATGGGTGACCAAGAAGTAATGGTCAATTAGTAGGGTAGAACCCTGAGGAATTGTTTACATCCCAGTTCACAACAATGTACCTTCAAGTTTTATTCTACTTGCAAATGCCCAAAATTTTAATGTAAAACAAGGCACTATATAATTCTTACCTTAGTTTTATGTGCTTGATTCTGCAAACCCATACCTACACATTAAGAAATTTCATTGGAGGATGTGTGTGAGACTTTTCAAGACAACTCTGATGTAGCCCAACAAAAGCATTTCCCCTTCTCACAAAAGGATAAATCTACATTGTGGCTAAATTTATTAAGTCCCTTATCTATTCCTAACTAGCAAGCCCACTAAAAATAATTTGTGAAGAAAATCTTCCCTCTTCATCGTACAAATGCTTTTAAATTTCAAATTATGAATTTTTCTATCAAGGAAGGGGAAAACTTTTATGAGTGTTGGGAGAGATTTAAGGGCACCTCCAAGCTTGCCCCTTACTTTTGAAAACTATAGGTTAGTAGGGTTTTTCTATCGCTCTCTCCCCACTTCTTTGCGTCAATTTGTGGAGAGTCCTAATGAGGATTTTGATTACTTTGATACATGAGTAGATATTTCCCAGATGTGGGACTCAACTTCATTGACCCATGTAGAGTCTGGAGCCACCACTTCTTATGGGGGAATGTTTGTTTTGAAATAAAAGAATAATTTGAGGGTCAATATGGCCACAAATAGCCTGTAAACTTGAGCTCTTAGAGATGCAAAAAGTTAATGAGATGTCTATTGTTCCTACCACAGAGCAGGTGTGTGGGATTTATACTCTGTCAGAGCATCCCAAGGGGGAGTGCCCTTCTATTCCAATCGTCAAGGAGGTCATGTTGGAACAATCCAATGCGATCTCCAGTTTTATTAAGACTTAGTCCAACCCATACTTTGATACTTACAATCAAGGGTGATGTGACCACTCGAATTTTAGTTGGAGGAACAATCAACAACCACAACCACTAGTTAATCCTCCACCACTATAAGGATAACCACAATATCCACCATTTCAGCCACCACATTAAAGGAGTCTAGAGTATACTTAAAATCAATTCATGTAGAGCCAAATGAACTTTAACCTTCAAACCACCCTAACTTTTAATGAATTGAAGGCTCAAACCACTCAGGCTATTAATGAGATTAAGGCTAAAACCACTTAGTCTATTAATGAGGTCAAGGCTCAAACTTCACAATTCATAGATGACATTAAGAGTCACCTAGAAAAGTTGACCCAATCATTAAGTTCCAATGAGAAGCGCAATTTTTATGCCCAACCAAGGCCACCCTAGGGTTAATTCTAAATAGGCGTGTCTTCCACTTTTGAAGCACCACTTGAGCATATATAGTCCATCACCACCCTTAGGACTAGTAAGGTTGTAGACAAAACTATAGCTCACCAAAGGTCTAGTTCCATAGTCAAGTCTACACCAGTTCCCTATGATGAGACTACACCTAAGGGGAAAAAAATCCACCATGTCTTATACCAGCTCCTTTTCCCCAATGGTTGAAGAAGCCACAAAATATGAATCATCATGTTGAGATTTTTTAATTGTTTAAACAGGTTAAAATAAATATTCCTTTTCTTGATGCCATAAAATGGGTCCCCTCTTATTCCAAGTTCCTAAAGGACTTATGTATTGTCAAGAGAAATATCAACGTGCAAAAGAGGACAATCCTTACAAAGCAATCTAGTGCAATTATTCAACAAAAGATCCCACCAAAATACAAAGATCCAGGTTGTCCAAAAATTTCATGTATTATAGGGAACTTCAAGGTTGAAAAAGCTTTGCTTGATCTTGAAGCTAGTGCTAACTTACTCACAAATTCAGTTTACCAACATTTAGGTTTGGGTGAGCTTAAACTCACAGGTATTACATTGCAGTTGGCATACCAATCTATTAAAATCTCTAGAGTAGTGGTTGAAGATGTCTTTATTTAAGTGGACAAATTTTACTTCACTATAGACTTCATAGTATTAGACACACAACCGGTCTTGCATTCTGCCATTCAGATTCCTGTCATACTAGGCCAACATTCCTTGCTACCTCCAACTCATTAATTAATTATAGGAATGGGGTGATGAAGCTTTCTTTTGGTAACATGATAGTTGAACTGAATATTTTTAACATTAAAAAGAAGCTAGGTGATGATGATGGGAGTGGAATCCATGGAGTCGACTTGATTGATTCTACTGTTCAAGAATAGTTTGATACATCAAAATTTCAAGAAGTGGTGAGAATCTTGAATTTATATACTTTGATAGTCTTCTACATTCTTTGCAGGGCTTAGCAATGGATGGATAGAGAATGGAGTATGAGAGAGTGCTACCACCGAATGAGGACAGGTTATTGAAGAAAGGTGGTAAGGGGAACAGTTCGGAATTGAAGCCAGATTTATTCACCACATGTATCTATGTACATTAGCAGTTAGTTTGTTGTTTATATTTTTATTTTATTATTCTCTGTTTGTTTCTATTTTTTTTGTTTGTTGAGTCTTTAATTTTTAAGTTTTAGATTAGTTGTGGCACCTAGTGTTCCTAACCCTTTGATTTTTGTTCATTATTTTTATTGAGCATTAAGGTATCTATTTTTACATTGAAGACAATGTTGAATTTAGGTTAGGGGGTGTGGGTGTATTTAGTGGTGTAATAAATTTTGTTCTTTTTTTTTAAAAAAAATTATGCATTGTGTTGATTGTTTTTGAAAAAAAAAAAAAAAAAAAACCTCGACGGTGCGAGGGAATTTTATTCATTAAAGTTTAAATTAATCCTAGTAAGGGGGATGTATGTACCTTACCCCTTGATGCAATCTAATTACAATTCAAAAGGAATTAGTAAAATTCTAATGCATGATTTTATGTGGAAATATAAGACAACAAATAATTTTAGAAAATCTAATTCATAAAATAACTCTGAATGCCACCACTTTGTAATTCCAGCTGAAAGAAAACTAGCTGGGAGAACATTTGATGGAAGCATGAAAATGGCCAGCATGCAGGAGTTATGGGCTGAACTAAGAGCAGTATGTGTAAGCTGCAAGAGCAGCATCTTCAGATGAGCTGATTGAGCTGAAAGCAGTAGCTAAGAGACCCTTACACGGTGAGCTATTTGATAAGGTAAGTAAACAACCTACTTTGGAAGCTGAGTATCCAAAAGACAAGCTATTTGATAAGGCTAATGAACCGACTGATAAGCCTCTGGATACCAAAGCTTCTAGGGACTGTAAGGCTATCTGGAAAAACGTATGAGGCAAGGGAGACCGAACAAAGCATCTTCATATTCCTCCATCACTAATCAACATAGAAAGAAAATCCAGTCTAAGACATGCAAAGCAACACAAAAGAAAGAAAGTCCAACACCAGACCACTAATAGAAAGTATCCAATGGAGACTGCCAGCGAAGAAGATGAATATCCAGCAGTGTTGTTGATATCTCAATACTTTGTAATCTGAAGATGCTGTCCCAAGAGAACCAAAAGCCTTGACTTTGAACCCAAAGAAAAGAACAGGTGCCTTCCATATTTTCCACTTGATTTTCTTTTCTTCTAAAAATTAGATCCCTTTTTCTAGAATAGGGATAGGCATGTAATAAAGAAGAGATTGTATAACGGACTGTGCTAATTGGTTTGATCTTCTTTGCTTGCATGACTACTTTGTGCTGACAATTGGGTGAATAAGCCTGTGAATACATATGGTCTGCATATATAGATATAGATCATCTACTGTAGAACAAACTTATAACGTAGAGATTTAATTTGCCTCAGATCTTGCTATGTGAGTTGAATGATCTATCCTTATATGTCTGAGTCGTAAATTCCTGACTTGCCTCCTGTCTTGTAACATTAAGAGTCTAGTAGTAACTGGAAGGCTTTATGAAGACGAGAAAGTGGATGAGGTTCTAGCTAAAACACCCTAGTTAGCCAATGAATCTACTACTATATTACCTTCACGATAAGAATGCTGAATTTGAAAATCCAAACTACAAAGAATAGAGCAAATTTGGTGAATAATACTCCATAATTTCCAAGAAACCTGACTGTTATACTTAACCATGTCCACTAGTAGTTTAGAATCAGACTCAATGAGAAACGAGTACTCCATCAATCCAAAATCCCTTATCATTATTAATCCATCTAAGAAAGCCCTCATTTCTGCCTCCACACTAGAGCAAAGACCATAAAAATAATACCTGCCAGAACAAGTTGCCCTGTAGAATTCCGTATAATAACTCACCCTGTTGACATCCCCATATTCCCTTTCGAAGCTCCATCAATATTCAATTTAAGCATACCCTCTTCTGGAAATCTCCAAGCTATCCATTTAACTTGCCTTGAAATTTTCCTAGGTCTCTTCACATTAATATCATCTAAAAAAATGAAATCATGTTCTATATCCCCTGCTTTAGGACTAATATTATGTACCTATAGTTTCCACACGTGTATTATGGACTTCAACAGAGAAAAAGAATGTAACTTCTGATCTTCAAAAAGTCTTCTACATCTTTCCCTCCATATCTGCCAGTAGACCAATAGAGATAAAGCTCTCAACAAAGAATGAGTTATACATGATTTCCTATAAATTCTGACAAACCTCATAAACCTTGTGAGAGGACCTTCATGAGAAATAAGTCGAATGCCCAAAAGATCTGATAAACCTTCCCAAACAGAAATTTCATATTTACAATTAATGAAAATATGAGCAGTAGATTCTCCATTATTAGAGCAAAAAACACACCTACTAGCCAAAGCAACCCCTATAGATTAAAATGTAGTATCCATAGGTAAGGCCTTATGCAATAATTTCCAACCAATGAGTTGTGCACTTTGAGGTGCAGCCTATTTCCATATATTAGAAGCTTGAACATTTTGTTGACCTGCACTTCGTATTAGGTTCCATGCTGATTTAATTGTGAAATTTCCCTTTCGTTGCCAAATAAGTTGATCCCCCCTTTCTGTCAATTCAATTTGCAAAGCAACCACCTCCTGTATAAGTTGTTCATCCATATGCTGTCTCACCATATTAAATTCCCATCTGCCTTCAACCAATACCTGAGAAAGACAGATAAAATTCAAAGGAGTAGACAAAGATCTATGAATTAGTAGTCCCAATTGTTACCAGATATCACACCAAAAATCCACTGCATCCCCTCTACCTACTAACTTCAACAAATTATTAACAACCTCCTCAAACCACGGATATAGCATTCTATGAACATTAGAATAACTAAGTCTTGGACTCCTCAACAAATGGCCCTTATTACAATATTTATCCAGAAAAAATTTAGCCCACAGAGACTTCCCATTAAGTAAACCCCATTCTTGTTTCATTCTAAATGCTTGTTGTACCTCTTTAGACTTATGAAATCCCAAACCTCCTTCCTCCTTGGGCGTGGTAATATTCTTCCATGAACACCAGTGCCTCTTTCTAGTATTTTCTTTTCTAGACCACAGGAAAGAGGCTATGATTGAATTCATTCTTGAAATAATACCTTTAGGTAAACTTAATGAGGTTAACAAATGTATTGGCATGGAATTTAAATTTGACTGTATCAAAACTATCCTCCCCATATTCATCAGGATTTTAGTATACCAACCCTATAGCCTTGCTTGAAACTTCTAGAGTAGTTCCTCAAAATAGGTAAGTTTAGCTCTTCCCTTGGTAATTGGACATCCTAAATAGGATAGAGGACACTGTTTAAGAGGAATATTTGCCACCCGCGAGAGAATAATCTGCCTAACACGTGGAATTTTAGCTGAGCAATACAAAGAACTCTTTCCTTTATTCACCTGTTGCCCAGACGCCTCTTCATACCTTCTAACAAACTTCAACAAATTTATCATTGACTATTTATTCCCTTTTAAAAAGACTAGTGTATCATATGCAAAGAGCTAGTGACTAAGAAATCTTGCCCTTCTTCCTATGTGAAAGTGTTTAGTAAGCCCTTTTTGAAAGCTCTCCACCTTTCCCCTGCTTAGTACCTCCTCTGCCAAAATAAATAGACTAGGAGAAATTGGGCCTCCTTGTCTTCTGGAAAAAACCATGCCTAACCCCATTGATAGTCAAAGACAAACTGATTATGAAGACAATTACTAATGACATTCTGGAATGCAGAAGAAAAACCAAAACTACTTAAAGTCTTCAGTAAAAAATCCCACTCTAACCTATCAAATGCTTTCATCAAATCCAATTTCACAATGATATTACCTGCTTCCACTTTCCTATCCAACTCATTCACCATAAACTGAGCCATAGAGATGTTGTCCACAATATTCCTCCCTTTGACAAATCCTTGCTGCTCATCTGAAATAATCATAGGAAGAATTTCCCCAAGTCTATTAGCTAATATTTGTGAAAACCTTATACACAAAATTGCATAAGCTTATCAGCCTAAACTCATCAAAAGAAACTGGGTTTTCCTTCTTTGGTATAAGGGATAACAATGTAGCATTCACAGATCTTGGAATTTCTCCCCCTTGAATAAAAAAATTTGCAGTAGATAACAAATCCATTTTAATTACTTCCCATGCAGTCTGGAAAAATTATCCTGAAAAACCATCTAGTCCCGATGCACTATGAATAGACATCGCAAAAATAGCCTCCTTAAGCTCTTCCAACGTAATATTGGACATCAATAACGCATTGCCCTCTACTGTCACTATCCTGGGGATAACATTAAATAGCTCCTCCTCCATAACATGTGTTTCAATAGTATATAAAGTTGAATAATAACTCACAACACAGTTCGCAATTTGTTGATCATCCTCCAACCAAGCGTCTTCTCCTGGCTCAGAGCCGACGGAAGTGCTACGCTGACACACGACAGCGACCTCTAGAGTTTGAGGTGGGAGATCATGTCTTCTTGAAGATGAATCCTAAGAGATGAGTGGTCAGGTTTGGTAAGCGGGGAAAACTGTCGTCGAGGTATATCAGAGCCTTCGAGGTACTTGAGAGGGTGGGTATAGTGGCTTACCGGTTAGCATTATTGCCAAATCTATCGAGTGTCCATGCAGTTTTTCATGTCTCTATGCTCCGAAAATATACCCCGGATCTGACTCATGTGGTGGATTGGGGAGAACTTGTTATTGATGCTAATGGGACCTTCGACGAGGGACCGGTGCGCATCATGGATAGCCGGGAACAGATTTTATGAGACAAGACCTTGTGGCTAGTGAAGGTATTGTGACAGCACCGAGGAGTACAGGAGGCGACATGGGAGCGTGAGGACACCATCTGTACCAATTATCCTTTCTTATTCAATGATGAAGGTACATTCTTATAGTCTTTTAGCATTATTTCACTATTGCATATGCAAGTGACTGTATATGCATGTGTATGTGAATTTTGGGGATGAAACTCTTTTAAGGGGGGAAGAATGTGAAACCCAGAAAAATTTGAACCTTTTCTTAGAAAGGGTAGAATGATAATTTTTCATCCTTATGCGTATTTAAAAAAAATCATGTTCTAGACCTCGGATGAGAAAACGAAGTTCGCCGTTGGATTTGTATCGCAAAATCTAGTCACCCTGCCAAATTTTGTCGAATTCTGAGATAGTCAAATTTTTGCACGTCGTTCGAGGTGACTGCAAGGTGAAAGAGATTTGAAAGGTCCCCAAAAAAGTAAATTTTTTTAGAATTAAGTTAAAGTTCCAATACAAATAATTTGAACTAAATCTGAGGTATAACGAATCGTTTCTGGACAAAAAATGGACCTGGAAGTCGGAAATATACGGTGCGATGTGCACCACACATTTGGGACTATAAATATCTACTTAACTTAGATATTTTGGGAAAAATATCTCTTGTTCTTGACCCTTGGCCGGCCATAGAGAGAAGAGAGTGAAAAGAGAGAAAAATAAGAAATTCTTCAAGCTTCAATCCAAAATTCCCAGAGTTTCGTCAGTCGGAATTCGTCGAGCCAAGAATCAAAGTTCATCTCCTCGACGAGGGCTACATGTACGTACCAAGAAAAGTGGATTTCACCGAAGGTCCAAAGAAAAGACTTTGGAGGAATCAAAGGTTCTTGGGCTTGTTTTGGTGTTTTTAGAAGTTCTACCACTTCCGACACGCTACAAGAGATAGGGTTCCCTCCTACCTTGGTTTTATTCTTACCTTAAGTGGGCTTTTAGTGGCTGAAAATGGTTTATATGTGGGCTGTCCAAATAGACTGTTTTAATGGCTGAAATTGGGTTGTATGTGGGCTGTCCAAATGGACTGTTAAGGGGCTGAATTTTGGACTGTTAAGGGGCTGAATTACGGACTGTTTTTAGGCCATGCTATGGACTGTTTTGGTGCTGAAATTGGGGGCTGTTTTGTGCACTAATTAGGGGCTATTTTTGGGGCTGTATACGTACTGTTTTTGGGGCTGTTGTAAGGGCTATTTTAGGGCCTATTTTGGGTGGTTTAGTGGGTAAATTTTGGGCCACTATGGGCTGATTTTCCTGTGGGCTGTTATGTGCTATATTTTGCCTTTTAAATTAAGTGTGTTTTTGACATAGATTATGTAATAACATGCTTGTCAATTGTGTTGAATATTAATGTTGACACATGCTAGTTGAGGTTTTGACATTGTGATGCAATTATGGAGATTATTTGGCATATGATATAAATCGCCATGGTAGACATTGATATGTAGAAATTGTTCCTTTGGCATGCATTGCAATATAAACATTGAATTGACATCACATTCATGGGCATGAGCTATGAGTGTGGGTGTGTGTATGCATGGTTAATCAAACACCATTCTTGGTGATTGATGGGTAGACTCGGGAAAGTTGGGTTGAAAATCCGAATGAGTCTCATGGTTGCATGAAAGAAAAAACTTGTGTCGGGTATAGCAAGAGGGGGTAGATTCCCCCTCGGGTGCTAAACCCGGTGACTTGGTTATACACTCCCCTATGGTGAAATTTCGAAAAAGTGTAGTATGGTGAACGGAACCGGCGGTATAAAATCTAAAATCCGTTGTCCAATAAGACACAAGATTTTAATTTACAATGTACTCATACAATGAGTAACACCCATCAATGATTTGGTTTTATAATAAAACCACTTTTATTCCAAACGATTATTTGGTGGATTTTTTTCGTCAATTCATGGATTCAGTATACCTAGGCATTGCATTGTGTCGTGGGAGTCGGTGATGACTTGTGTTTTAAGTGCATGAGTGAGTATCATCTCATTTCATGGCATGACATGATTACATTCCACATTTAATGCATATTCTTGTATGGAATGATTGTTAAATGTTGTTTGTAGCTTATACACACCACATATGCATCTAAGGTGGGGAGTAGCCTCTGTAGGGCTTATTCTACTGGGCGTTGGCTCACCCTATACGGGAAAATATTTTAGGTGAGAGAGATACACCGGTGGATGGCTCAAATTTGGACCCTCAAGTTTGAAGACAGCCGAATGTGGCTTTATTTTGTGTTAATGTAAAAAATTTGTGAAAATAATGTTTTGGGCATGTAATCTTTTGCAAATAATTGTAATAGAACTTATATAGACTATTGTTAAATTAACCTTGCATGTGTTGATATAAATATGGATAATTGGACCTGGGTGGCCAATGTTTACTTATAATTGGACCCGGTGTGGTCATTGTTGAAAATTGGACCTCGAATGGGTTTTGTTATTATATGATTGCAAAGGTTGAAGGTTGGGTAAAGCTTGCCGTACAAAGGAGACTCTGCCCGAATTTCGTAAAAAATTATGGTTCCGAGTAAATGGGGCATAATGGTGTGATATCGAATTACTCGGTATCCATGGGTATTGCGCGGGTTGATGGGTAATCAACAAACCCCTGGATTTTAGGGTGTCACAGCTTGGTATCAGAGCATAGGCATATGAATAACCTAGGGCTCGATGGGCACGAGTATAGACTATTGCATTCTATATGCAGTTCATGTTATGTGCTCTACTTGCTACATGTTATGTGTTACTTGTTATGTGAATTATATGCATAATAGAAATGTATAGGGAAGGGAATACATTGGGTTAGAAAACATAACCTTGGGAGTTTAAAAAAAAAGGGATGAGCGGTATAGTTCAAT